AATCAAGGCCGAAGTATGAAAATATTTCCTTACATTATGGTTTTTCAGTAAAAAGTTAAATGAACACTCCAAGCACAAGACTCACTAAAGTACTTACTACAGTACCCCATTTTAATCAGTTAAGACATATTAACAGTCTGATTTATCACTTGGGATCCGCTGGGAGATACTCCTCACCTCCACTACAGCCATATCCAGACATTCTGTGATCTAAGCTCCTGATAAGCAGTCCAGCACAGAGAAAAGGTGTAGCAGAGGACATGCCACACTGTAGAAAAACCAAAGCAGCAAGAGCATTTACACCAAGCATTTCAAACATGCAGCCCACAATGAATATATCTGCGGCCCACCTGCCCTGGGGCCTCTTTCAGCTGTGGCTGTGACCAGCAAGATTGGCAAAATATTTTGTGATTCTTGCACTCCCGGCCACAAGAGGGCTGAGAAGACCAGAGCATCCACTCCCCCTTCCCTCCTGCTTCAGCAGGGCTGGAGCTGGAGGACGGACAGCAAATTGTAAGGTAGAAAAAGAGGGGGAGCAGTGTATTAATTTGAGGGAGGGGGCACTGAATTAATATGAGGGAGGGGACACTCTATTAATTTGAGGGAGGGAGCACTGTATTAATTTGGGGGAGGGAGGTGGCCAGTGTATTAATTTGAGGGAGGGGGCACTGTTTTAATTTGAGGGAGTGAGGGCAGTGTATTAACTTGGGGTAGGGAGGAGGGGGCAGTGTATTCAATTGGGGATGGGTGGCAGTGTATTAATGGGGGTAGTGTATTAATGGGAGGGAGGGGGCAGTGTATTAATGGGAGGGTGGGGGTAGTGTATTAATGGGAGGGAGGGGGTAGTGTATTAATTTGGGGAAGTCAGGGGGCCAGTGTATTAAATTGGGGAGGTGGGGCAGTGTATTTGAATGAAGGAGGGGGCAGTGTATTTATTTGAGGAAGGGAGGGGGCCAGTGTATTTATTTATTTGAGGGAGGGAGGGGGCCAGTGCATTAGAGTGGTGGGGGGCAGTGTGTTAAAT